GCTAAAGGATGAGCAACACGATTCACTGACCTTTTAGAGTATAATAAAATCTTAAATTGACTATGATTATCGAGGATAGATCTAATATCATCAATAATAAGTCGTAAATAAGAGGACCCTCCTTGCTTTGAGACATTTTGAACCACAACAGAGCATCCGTTTCAATCTCAATTTTCTCCCAACCCGATCTGCATGTTGCGCTTAAGGCCTCCCTGACACCGTATGCCTCTGTCTCCGCCGGTGACCAACTAGCCTCCTTCATACTTGTATATACTTGAATATTCATATTGGATACATAATTACGTAAAATCATAATATATACATGTATTTAAAAATATCAAGTAACATTATTTATATAATTTGGGCTAAAATTATATTTTACAATATTATGGATGTCTTTTCAATGCTTACTAGTATTATTATTATTTGATTATTGTGCACAATAATTACCCATTGTTTTTAAATTTACATATTGTTATTTATTTATGATTTAAATATGTTTTTAGTTTCTGCAAATATGACATTTGTTTTAGGTCCCTGCAAATAGAGATGGACTGCACTTCTTTTTTGGATGTATTTAAAAGTTTTCAACATTTTCTCTTTTAGGTAAATTTTCCTTTAAAAATACTCAATTAGCCTTACTTTAAATAGAAATGACGAATCTTTTTGGGACATCCAAAAAAAGAAATTTCACCAACCTTTTCGGGACGGAAGACACTTAATTCTTACACAAGTTCCCGGTGTGAGAATTCAACAATACATTTGTTTGCTCTTGGTCCAAATTTGTCTTTACTAGTGTTACGCATGGTGGCATACCATAGTGACCTAAAAGTCTTCAATTCTGTGTAATGCGGTGGTTTAGTGTTTATTAAAAACAATTTCAAATGGTGTCTTCCATTAATCGTAGAGTGGAAGATGACATTTTATTGATGAGATGATCGAGTAGCACTTAGGAGACATTCTACCCAAAATGGTTCATAAACTTTTGAAAAAACGTACAAGGTTCACATAAACAAAGAATCCATTGTATTTAAAGGATTAAATTCGATGTATGATAGTATGAAGGGAAAAGGGACATATATACCCTTATACTATTACTGTGGGAACACATATACCCTTATATTAATTTTTAGAACAAAAGCTGATAAAGTTGAAATTGAGGCACAAATACACCCTTCCTAACGTTACAAGACTTTCCCACTTACCTAACGTTAACCTATCATCTCTAATCAGTTGTTTGGGCCTTCTCTGGGCTTTCTCTATCTCAATCGCTTAATTTCTTCGCTCCTTTGTCTTCATCGCACATATGAAGACGACGGATGTGTTCATAGAATAGACGGCTCAAACCCTTTTCAGAGGAGATGAAAGAGTAGTCCGAGTTTGTCTGATTTTTCATCAACAAGTCAAAGGTGTGTACAGTAACTACCTCATCCCTATCCATCCCTCCTCTGTACTCACTCATTGAATAACTAACAGAGCTAATGAATCACTTCTCTTAAATGAAAACATATCATTTTCCTGTACCCTTAGTTCTTAGGTTCTTTACTGATTTGAAAGTTAAATCCCCCAAACTGGCTTTGAAGGATTTGAATTCATCCTAACTTCATGTTGATTTATGTGAATTGATTTCTTGTCATATTTTTGTTTTTTATGATAGAATATACTCCCTATTGTAACCATGGATTGTGAACTTTATGTTGATGGCGAAGGAGGGGACCCTATTTCCATAGAGTGGGAAGAAATTGATAACCTTCTAGACTTAGGTGCTAGAGAAGTAGAAGATGTCTATACTAGACCAAGAGGTTATGTGACTGAAGATGAAGAAGAAAATGAAGATGGGGCTGAGAGTGATAGCGACTCAAGTGACGATGAAAATTGTGAGGATGCTGATGGTGATACACCTCTTGAAAAAGTCATACATGAAGATGGAGATAAACATTGGCAGTCAGGCATGACATTTTCGAATGCTAAGCACGCAAGAGAGGCAATTTCAGAATATGGAGTGGTTCAAGGTGTAAAATTGAAAGTTTACCCCAATGAACCAACAAGAATCAGGGTTAAATGTGTTAACGAGGAGGACTGCCCTTTTCACATATTTATTTCGAGAGATGGAAAGAACCCAGGGTTGACAATAAAAACTTTGGTCAATGAACATAGGTGTTGGAGACACTATACACTTCCAAGTGCTTCAACTAATTTCATAGCAAGACAATTTAAACAAAAAATATATCTTAATCCTAATTATAGGACGAAAGATATGGTGAAAGAGTGTAAGGAAATTTACAAAATTAATGTTAGTTTAGCTAAGTGTAAACGAGCAAAAAAAATGATCAGAAAGGAATTGGATGGAAGCTTTAAGGCGGAATTTGGATACTTGGCAGCTTATGCAGCTACATTAAAGACAAGCAATCCAGGAAGTACTATAGAAATTGAGTTGTGTAAACAAGGTTTGAGTGAAGGAAAAAGGATTTTCAAGAGAATGTTTATTTGTTTTGAAGCGTTGAAGAAAGGATGGATGCATGGTTGTAGACCAATTATAGGTTTAGATGGTTGCTTCCTTAAAGGATTAACTAAAGGTCAAATTCTGGCAGCAGTAGGTAGGGATGGTAATGATCAGATGTACCCTATAGCTTGGGCAGTGGTTGGGAAAGAAAATAAGGACAATTGGAAATGGTTTCTATTCTGGCTTGCTCAAGAACTTCATTTGGATGATGGGTCCAAGATCACCATCATATCTGACATGCAAAAGGTATTTTGTTATTCTTAATGTTAGTTTTCAAATTTTAACAAAAACAACATGATATTGAAATTCATACATTTTACAGGGTCTAGTTGATGCAGTAAAAATGGTGATTCCTAATTCTGAGCACAGATTTTGTGCTAGACACATTTTGGCCAATTGGGGTAAGAGGTGGGATGGGGATGAGTTGAAAAAGAGATTCTAGATTAGTGCCTGGTCAACATTTGAAGAGGAATTCAAGGACAATTTATCTAAACTTGGTGAGGTAATATCAATACTTAATTTTGAAACAATAATTTTCAAACTTGGTGTATTGAATTTATTTTCTGCCATACAATAAGTTTTAAATTTGTTTGTGATTTTTTAAGGTTTCCAAGAGTGCTGCTGAAGATTTATTAAGGTATAATCCTCAGGTTTGGTGTAGGGCATATTTCAGTGGTAGGTGCAAGTCACACATTGTTGATAATAACACAACTGAAAGCTTCAATTCTTGGATTATAGAAGCTAGGCACAAACCGATAATGTCTATGTTAGAAGACATTAGAGTGTTGTGTATGACAAGAATTAAAGAAAACAAGGATGCCATAAGAAATTGGTTCAATGATTGGACCCCAAGTGCAATGCAAATGTTGGCTGATAACAAAGAGATAGGAAGTGGTTGTAGGGTTATATTCAATGGAGAAGCAGAATATGAGATAGAAGAAGGGGATGATAAGCATATTGTTAAACTTGATAGACAACAATGCACTTGTAGGTATTGGGAATTAACTGGCATCCCTTGTCCACATGCATGTTGTGCGTTATTTCATAGTAAGATAGACCCATTAAATGTATTGGAGAAGTGGTATCACAAACATACCTACCTTAGAGCATATGAGTTTCCAATACAACCAGTTCCAGGGAGAAAGTTCATGCACTGTGAAGAATTCCCTGCAGTTCTCCCTCCACCATTTGTTAAGATGCCTGGAAGACCACGCAAGAAGAGAATGAGGGGGAAAAATGAGCCACCTGCAGCTTTTTCAACTAAAATGACCACAAAGGGAAGAAAGCTAAGTTGTAGTTTGTGTTCTGTTGTTGGTCATAATAGTAAGACTTGTCCAAGAAAAACCCAGGTATACCTGACATATATATATGGCATAATTCAATCACATACATGTGATTTTTTAATCAAAGTGTTTCTGTTTTAATTTGTAGGATCAAACTCCTTCTGGTTCATTTGTAACTCCTACCAGAGAAGATACATCATCCAAACTTGTCAATCAAACACCTGGATTTGGAGTATTCGTGGATCTTAATACTGGAATGCAGACTCTTAATGTAAGAGTATTTTATATACTTTTGTAAGTATGTTTATGACCTCTTAAATTTTTATCTAATAAGTTTTAATTGTTTATACAGCCAGGTATGCCTGGTAAAATTATCATATCACCAGGTTCTCCCCATTTGCGGACCACAATTTGTGATGATCCTAATGTAGTTACAAGGTTTCCAATCCCTAATGAAAAGGCTATACGGAGGAAAAAAGCCAAACTATCAACTGGGGTCCAATTGAGGGAAATTAAGATGTCTGGAAATGGTACTGAAGTAAGGGAAGCTACTCAATTACCATTTCAGGCTCCAGGAATGCAATTCAGAGGAAGACCTTCAGTGCTTGGAAAACATTTACAACAACAGAGAGACAAGAAGGCTCAACAATTGAAGAATACTCTGAAGATGTAATTGTAGACTTAGAGTTAAAGTAATATGTAGTAGTATTTTGCTTACTAGTGTTTGCATACTAGGCTAAAGCCAGTGTAATGATTTTTGCTACTAGTGACTCATTGATGTTGTTTGGTTAGAACGAAGCTAGGAGGAAAACTGAATTAGCTCTTTTTGTATGATTATGGAGCATTCTAATACATAGCATATTGTGGGAAGTGTTTCTGAATGATTATGGAGCAATCTGATCCATGTTATATTGCGTACTTGATCAATATATTATGTTCATAGCTGCTGTTTTTAGCGCCAGGAGGATTTAGGCATGTTGGCCACTACTCATTTAAGTGATAAAAACTGAAAACAACATGCTTATTACAAAAAACACACTGCTATGGGATATAAACAACACACACTCAATCTAAATAACATGTTCTGGAATTAAATATAGTTTTATGACAGTGGAGTCTTGATAGACAACTACAACATCCTCATAAAAGTGGAGACATACATCATAAACTACTACTTGCAAATACTATACCAATACAGTCAAGAACATCTTTAATCATCTCACAATTTTTTTACTATGACAATTATCAATACTAGCCAACTAATCATAGCAAAAATGTATGCTATCTTTTTCTGCTTCTTCATTGTTGCTTCATATGCCAATGAGGTTCCCTTTTCAGTAGCATGCTTCTTCACATTTTCTAATTCCCTCCACAGCTGGTGTATTTCTTGATCTACCAAGTCATTTGGCATTTTCACTCTCAATAAATTGAGTCTTTTATTCTCCATTTCTAACATTTTTCTTTCTAACTTCATCTCGTTTATCAAATCTTTGGCCCAAACCGGTAAAGCTTCATCATGCCATTCAAAATATCCACATCCATTAGCCTGCAAATTAAATAGATGTTCACTTTCCATTTGAAATTAAATACAGATGAAAAATAACCGAAAAAAATTCAACCATAAATATCCCAGCAAGAAAAAATTGAAACAAAAACAAAATCAAATTCTCACTCTATAATTTGGACAACCGTAGAAACGTCGCCCAGGATTGTTCGGAGTCTCTGATTTGAATCTTAGAGTTGTTTGTCCACAAAAGCATTTTTTGTGTTGTCCTTCGTAGTCAACTTCAAAATTCAAATGCTTTACAGACCTTGTGGACGGAGTCGAAGAAGAAGAATAAGACATTACAAAAATTTATAAGAGTAGGAAGAAGAATTAGGGAATTAGGACCTCTGTTGTTTCTGAGAGGGGTTGGGAAAGAAAGAACGAACAAGAAAGGGGCTGAGAAGGGTTTTATTTGTGAGAGTGTGTTAGATAGGGACGGTGTATGACGGAGAAAGTCTGGAAACGTTAGGAAGGAGGCATTTGTACCTCAATTTCAACTTTATCAACTTTTTGTTCTAAAAATTAATATAAAGGTATATGTGTTCCCACGGTAATAGTATAAGGGTATATATGTCCCTTTTCCCTAGTATGAAGTATGTATAGGAATGGAAACACCGCATAACAGATCACATTGAGTCACTGACGACACACGCAAAGCTATAGGAACGAATATGAAGACATCATTTGCTTTAATTAATAATTAAAATAAAAATAAAAAATAAAACCAACCATTCCAGCTCACTGGGTGGAAGGTTACTGTGTCCTAGCGGAGGTCTCGGGTTCGAATCCCGCTAGACACATTTAGGGGAGATGAGGGAGGTCTTGCTCCCAATGATTCTTCCTGCCTTCACAGAGTTGCTCAGCGGCTGAGAAGGGAGAGGATGGTAATGAAGATAGCGGGTTCGTGTGGTGGGAGGAACAGCCTGAAAGGTGATGTAAGTCCTGCTGGATTCGTCCTTTGGAGCCAGTACTGACGAGGTTGACTGTGATCAGATCCGGACTTAACTGTCTAGGGGCTTTGGAGGGTAGTTCATAGACTTCAGGATTATGAGAGCGTAAACCCCGACACCTGGATTATAAAAAAAAAAAAAATTAGAAAATAAATAAAACTGGTGGTACGGTAGAGTCAGTACGTAGTATCCCACCGACCTCAGCTTTCCATTTTTCATTTTATTCACTATTAGGTCTAGAAGTAGGAAAGTGCCAGCAACATTTCTTCCAACTGCACAAAGGAAATCACCGATTAACATTAGAAATGAATGAATATTTACGTTTATTAGCTTAGCAAGAGCGATTCATAAAATGGAAAATGGAAAATAATAACCCAACCTTTTACGCGGTCTTCTCTTAACAGTCCCTGTTATCGAAAATCCATTAAAACTCCTTACTTTGCATGTCATCTTCCGTAATCAGTCCCGAAGACTTGTTACCGGCTAGGGCAGTCATATTTTTAAAGAAAAGTGGAAATTAATAATTCAACCTTACTCGATCTTCATTTAACGGTCCCTGTTACAGTTAATTGTAAATATAAACACTTACTCCATCCGGTCACTCTCAGGTCGGGACTGTTTATTGAAGATGACATGGAAAGTTGCGATTTTAATGAATTTTAGGTAAAAGGGACCGTTAAATGAAGAACGGGTAAATGTTGAATTATTATTTTCAATTTCCCCTTAATAAAAAAATATCATCATATCTCAACAGTACGTTCGTTCGTACCTACGCACTTCGTATAAGAATGTATAAGCAGGGGTGGTATAAAAATGTACAATAATTAATAAAAATGTATACTAAATTGAAACTTAATTCCACAAATAAGACTAAAACTAAAATTCATTTACAAGAAGCACTAAAATTAATTTTCTACCCTTAATACTCTTGAGCGTATTAAAATGTTTACAAAATAAAAGTAACTGAAATGTTTACAAAACAAAATTAACTAAAATGTTTTAATTAATAATAAAATCGTTAAAAATAATAAAAAATTAATAAAATATTTACAAAATAATTTTTTTAATATTTGTTTAGGAATAAAAAAAACTAATAAAAATTAGTGTAAACAGATAAAAAAATATGAATGATTTTTCCACCGCCTCTACAGCCTCCCAGCATCACCACCTATGATCGGTAAAAAGTGTCATTTTGTGTTTAAAATGCCATTTTTTCTGAAAATGCAAATAAAATGATACTGTTACTCTTTGATCGATAGACAAAGTTTTCACAGAAATTTTCATCAATATGGCATTACTAATGCATATTGGGATTTTTTTCGGAGATCGGAGCTGGTGGTGCTGAGGGTAGAGGCGGCGAAAAATGCCTGCATATGTTTTTTTACGTTTTTTATTTTTTATTTTATTTTTTAAGTTTTTTTGTAATTTATAATTTTTTATTTTTCTAATTTTTTATTAATTTTATTAAATATTTATTTTAGTCTTAAAGGCTACAAGGTTATATTTGTCCAAACTCGCATGATTAGTCCTATTTAGAAAATTTAAAAAATGGTAGTCTTATTTGTGAATTTTAGGTGTGTTTTCGTCTCCTTTAGGTGATATTGGGGGTGTTTGGTTAGGAGCCTATCAGTCACTTTTTAGCTGATTTGACCAACATTAATTTAGCCTTTTGACCAATCAATCAGCTAATTAGGGTGTTTGGTTAAATGAGTTTTACGTTTGGCTTTTTCACTCCAGCAGCGAAAATATGAAACGCCAATCACTCCAGCAGCTAAGGTTCACACAAATAAAGAATATATCCATTGTATTCAAAGGATTAATTTAGATATATGGCGTATAATATCCAGACCAATATAATATACGTAGTACATAGTATATCCGAATTGAAACGTCACAGATGAGATCATATGACACACGTAAAGCTATAATATATAATTGCGGAGTATATGAGAATAACATATGCTTTAGTTAATTAGAAAATTAATATACGTAGTATAAAATTAGCCATCATATCCATCCACCGGATCGATTGAGTAGAAAGAAACGATGACTGCTGGTATAGTAGCTAATATCCCATCCAAACCATTTGTCCAAACTGCACAAAAGAATTGAAATCACGGTGGAATTTTATCAAGAAATAGGAGTAAAACGCTCGAATTAAGCCTATATTAAATAACACGGTGGCATTTTTGTAAATATTATGAAAATGTGAAAATGTGCAATATGCAAACGTCGTTGTGAAACCTAATGTGGTGTTCTCACGTTCTCACGTTAATCATTGTTCTCATTTGATCTTTTATATATATATATATATATATATATATATATATATATATATATATATATATATATATATATATATATATAAACACTGCTTCCGTCTCTTTGTATTTACCAATCTTTCAATTTTTCATTCAAAGATGGTAAACTTTAATCCATTATTTTCACAAATATATTTTTGTGAAACTTATTAAATTTATACGTTTATTATAGTATTTTTTAATAAAAAACATTTTTCGAATCATTTTCATATTACGAATACTATTGTGTACAAATATAAAATCGATCCAAGTTTAACATTATTGCTTTAAAAGGTCAAATTTAGCAAAATAAAATGGGACATAATTCGATGAAGTGGGCAAAATGGTTCAGACAAACAAAGAATCCATTGCATTCAAAGGATTGAAATGTGACAGATGAGATCACATGACATACGTAAAGCTATAGAAAATTAGAAATTACGGAGTGTATATATATATATATATATATATATATATGTGTGTGTGTGTGTGTGTGTGTGTGTGTGTGTGTGAGAGAGAGAGAGAGAGAGAGAATAACATGTACTCCCTCCGTCCCAATTTCTTTTGTAAAGTCAACATTTTTTGGTCAACCAATAATAAAAGTCAACTCTCTGTATGGATAATTAATTCAATTTTTAATAATTAAAATTTAGATATTCATAAACTACATTAAAATATCTTCAAAGTTGTAAACTCCAAATTAGAACATAATTAAAAATTGACATCCAAATTAAGTGAATAAAACGAGACTGTTTGAGTAAGAAAAGTCAAATTTGCATCTCTTTTTAGGACGGAGGTAGTAGTATCTTTTAATAAAATAGAAAAGTAATGATAAAATTAGCCACAATATATATCCATCCACCGGATCGATGAGTAGAAAGAAACAATTCAATGACTGGTGGTAGAGTAGCTAATATCCCACCGACCTCATCAACCAATGAAGCAGCACTTGCCGCCCCAGAAACATCCAACCGTGTTGTCCATACTGCACAAAGGAAATTAATCCCGGTATTATATTATATTAGAGATGAATATTTACGCCAATTATATTAATGAAATATATATATTAATCATTATATATCATACGTATATCTGAATAGTTCGTTTGTAGTACGAGGTATATCTCATGCATAAACATATATATATATATATATATATATATATATATATACTCCCTCCGTCCCCTAAAACTTTGTCATCTTTCCTTTTTGGGACGTCCCAAAAAACTTTACCACTTTCCCTTTTAATCGATTATTTTGTGGTTTCTATTATTTCTCTCTCCTCTTCACAAACTTCAATCATACAGTTTTTACTTTATTATTCTCCGTGCCGGTCAACTTTGGTAAAGTTTTAAGGGACGGAGGTAGTATGTAGAGCTGAGTGTTGCCTTACCACTTCTCACACCCATCTTTATCTTCTCCCTTGCTTCCACTGACCAAATAATAATCCATCTTCTCAATTATCAGCGGGATGCTTCCACTTGGATAACCTAATTTTAGGGTTTCATTCCCGTCCACATTAAATAAATGAAAGAAGCTAATTATATATTGCGAAGTATTTCATGCTTCAATTTGTATAATTAATATACGAGTACTACGTCCGTATATGCATGCATTTATGTTGTATGCTTGTATTCAATCTTGTTTGAATAATTTTCGTACAGTATAGTGTGTGAGCAGTTTGTGTATATATATATATACGGTGTTGTAAGTACATGTTTAGCTAGACATAAACCTAAATTATTATCCGAAATTGCCGTAACTAGGAGTAAAAACGCTTTGAAATTCCAAAATAGGAGTATCATGTTTTTTATTCGTTTGGTAAAAAATGCCATGTTTTAAAACCTAGTAATGCGAAACTTGACAAAAATTTACTCTTATTCAAGGAAGAAAAAAACATGATAGTCCAATTTTGAAATTTCAAAACATTTTACTCCTATTTAGGGAATTC